AAGCAACAGGCTCAACAAAGAAGCTAAGTTGTAGCTTAATCATTACAGATAATGTGGTGTGTGAACGGTGTGTGTTGAATGTAGTGTCTCATTTTGATAACTGACTTAATAATACTGTATTTCACAGTTCCCAGTTACACATCTTTTCTACATTTTAACATCTCTGAAATCAAGATATGTCTCATATTCAGTGGTGTGTCATAGTTTGTCAGCATTTTTCGTTCCTAGTGGTACATAAATAATATGATGTCTAATAATAGATGGTGTATTAGATTCGATGGAATACAGTAAAAATACAGACCGACAAGAGTTTGAATTTGAAAAACCTCAAACTAGATGATTCCAAGCTGTATTTTATGGCCCCCTAGTAGTTTCATAAGGGGGTGGTCTTGTTTCACATATTGGAGTTTGAGTAGAATTTCAAGTATAGAAAGTGTTTTACTGCTCTTTTAAAAAGAAGTTTAAAGACCCCAACTCAATAGGCCCTTCATTTTAACACCATGAAATATCAGACATAAATACCTTCTGATTGCGCAGTATTCTGATGGAACAGATATACAGGCACTTGTGAAAAATCAGTCAGTCTCCTGCACCCCCAACCCAAACATACCCTCTGACATTCTACCCCCCCAATTCCCTCTCAGGTGTTTATGTGCACATTTATACATATATGTCCATCTGATCAATTCATTATCAATTTATTCCATAAATGGCACCATTTTATTTACTAGATGCTACAACTTAGCATTGTTTTGATTAGTTTTAACTTTTTTGGAGCTTTTTCTAGGTTAGTACATATAGGCATCTGTCATTTTTTAGTGGCTGTGATAGATTTCATTGTATAAATGGCCCGAGTATATACTTCTCATTTTATCCATGAAGAACGATGCTCCAGAGAACTTAGGTGTGTGTCATTACCCAAAGTCACACATTTGGACTGCATTGAGAACCTGGGTCTTCTGCCCCTAGTTGGTGTTTTTCTCTTAGTAGTACTGGTCTTCTATATATAGATTTTATAGCCACCTATTGTATATTAATCACTTTGGTTCTGTTTTGCTTAAATAAAGCCAAAATACCACTTGGAAATTTAAAACTCTCTTCTTTCTGTAGTATTGTCATATTTTCTTCGTACTTGTTTTGCTAGAAGTGAGTGTTAATTACATTCCTTTTTCCCTACCTAGAATATGCTCTCCCTGGGAAAAGAGAATTTATTCATCCCTGGATTGGCTATGTACAAAAGTAGTTGCTTAATAAAAGCTTGTAGTTCCCTCCTGCCACTCTCCATCCACATCCTGCTTGTCCTGGAATGCTCTCTTGCAATGGCTGTTTCGGAAACACCACCTATACTGAGAAGATGTTTCTCATGTCTGTGCTCCCAGAGGCTGCTGTTTCTCCACATCATCTCCAGGCTCCTGGGTGAGCCCCTTGTCCTCTCTGGCCCTGCCCTCCCATCTTCTCTGTCTTTTCTGGTCTCTGATTCCCTGCTCCTGTCATCCCCATGTTGGTCCAATCAGGCCCCAGTACAGAGAAAATCAGAGGAGTGTGGAATGTTATTCCCACATGGCATACTGGCGTCTACTTTCCCAGCCCTCTAGCAGCCTCTGGGTTTAAAATTCCAGTGAACATTTGCTGGTTCCTCTGCTCAGGAATGTGTATGTACACATCCTGTTAATGGATAATTGACTTTATGTGTGGTGAAGTAGAGGCTTGGCCAAGGGCAAATGAAGGAGAGGTACTTTAGAAAACAAGAGCATTAGGCAAAATTAATTTAAATGGAAATTTGAAGGCTGAAAACCAACTACTTTTTAAATGGATAATTTAAAAAATTAGGTTTTAGTAGTACTGGAAAATGGTTCTCAGAGCTGTTTGTGTATATTTAGCTGAAACAGTTGTGTCCTTGCAAAAGGGTTAGTACTGTTCCCCTTTTCATCCCCCTGTTTATTCCCCCCTCCTCCCCCATCAGGTTCCTGGAATTAACAGACTTAGTGCTCTGTTCTTTCAAAAGATCAGCAGCTTTCAGAGAGTTCAGTTCTGTTACAGAAAGATGGCTGTTATAGAACCTCAAAAGTACCTCAACTCAGTGTTACTGGGAACACTCAGAATTAATTTAGAAGTAGAAGAAGAGCTGGGGGGTTCTTTTCATACAAGGAATGTGTATTCACTGTACAAAAATGAGGAGAGAATTTCCAGCCAGCAGGAAGTAAAATATTTTAGGTTGTGTTTCTGTAGTGTCCGTATCTATCCATTGTTCAATATTGGATATATTCTTGTGTTCATTATAGTTGTTTATTTTTAATTTAAAAAGTAGTAACAGCTAGTGTTGTTGGTCAGATATTGGACATGGAGTTCTTTCTACTTATTCGTCACAACAGTGCTGTGAAGTAGTTTTCTTCCCATTTAATCTTTTCACAAATCTGTGAAGTGGTTACCATTGCTGCCCCTGTGTTACAGCTAAAGAAACCCAGGTTCAGAAGAAGCAGTACACTCAATCAAGATCATGTAGCTACAGAGCAGTGGAGCCAGGATTTCTAACCACTGCTCTCTCTTGTTCTTTGATGACTGTCCTTAGGCAGTTGCCTTGGGCTGCCCTGGCAGGCAGTGTGGCACCAGACTATGGATGCAAAGCACGGCTCCACTGCTTTCTATTGGAGTGACCTCGGGCAAGTTGCTTTCTGTGAGCTTTGGCATCTTCATCTATAAAATTGATACAATAAAAATATGTGTCTCATAGGGTTGTGGAGTTAATACACAGAAATTAAGATAGTGCTTAGCATATAGTAGGTGCTTAGTAAGTGTTGCTGTTGTTACTGTAACCTGATGGTTTTCAGTCATTTCAGATAGGAATGCTTTCAGCTGTAAGTAACAGAAAACTTGAGTTTCAGTGGCTTGAATACACCTAAAAAGAAGTCTGCAGGTGTGGAGAGTGTGGGCCTTAATTTAGTTGCTCTGCAGTGCCGTCAGAGACGCCTCCTTGTCCCTGTATACCACCATTCTTAGCTCAGCCACCTACTTCATGCTCACAAAATGATTGCTGCAGCTCCAGACGTCCTGTTTGCATTCAGTGGATAAAGCTGCAAGGCCATGCTAGGATAAAGCTGAAAGTAGAAGCTGCAGGAAGCCACATTGCACTGCCAAGCTTGTGCTTTCATCTGATTGGTTAGGCCCAGGGTGCATGGCTTCTCTTAGCTGCAGTAGAGGCTGGGAAATGGTAATGTGTAGGGCTCAGCTTTTTAACCTATTGTTAAATATTCAGAAAATTTGCAATCTAATTGATACTGCTTGGGATAGCTTGAATTCTGCCATGGTAGAAGTATTTATGTCACAGGAACCAGCAAACACTATAAATCAGATCCCTTTCCCCAAGCCAGTTGTTAAATAAACATTTACCAGCACACCATTGGATGTATTTAATTCCATTCGCCAGACCAAAAAGTGGCATTGAATAGAGGTGAGAGGTAGGGATTTGAAATGTTCTTGGGTCAGCTAGGCAGCAGTGTCTACCAAGCTTACCATCTGATAAGGAGAGTTAGATGCCAACATATGGAAAAGTTTATTGGTCTTTTTTTAGAAAGACTAAAGTTAATCTTATAGCTAAGCTTATTTCCTACTGTAGACAAATGTGGATCAAAATTTGGTATGTTGTACTAGATATATTAGTTATAGTCTTAAATTTCCAATGCATTGGTTTTTACTGTACTGTGACAGAGATCAAATTCAATATTTTTAACAGTTTAAACCTCTTCTAATACCAGTGATTGCAGAAAATTAGAGCTGAGGAGGCCCTCTTGAGATTGTCTAGGACACCCCCTTCATCCCACTGGTGGGAACTGGAGGCTCCAAAGGAATATGCTTTGTCCCAGACCCCAAAACCAGGGAGTGGAGGGGTCCTCCTGGAACCCAGGTGTCCTGACAGTCCAATGATTATTATTCTCTAGAACCTGAAGGTTTACAACCCACCTTTCTGTCTCCTGCCCTCTCTCCTCTCTGTGCTGCCCCAGAGCATGCTCATACTGGTATTCTTTTTTCCAGCTTTGGTGGTGCTAGGAAGTTTTGTTGCTATCTTCTGTCTCCCAGGAAGCCTACTTTAAACTGTTTTGTTTTGGATTTTAAAGAATGGAGCATTGTGGATTTGTTTGTTTTTATGAGAGAAGCTTAAAGAATTTGGTAACTACTATAGTATAGTACAAACAAATACTTAGAAATTTAGTATGTTTAATATACCTAATATAACATACCTAATTTTTATCCATATTTGTTTACAGTAGGAAATAAACTTAGCTGAAGATTAACTTTGGTCTTTCTAAAAAAGTTTTCCATATGTTGGTGTCTAACTCTCCCCATCAGATGGTAAGCTAGCTCTTTGGGGATAGGCTCTGTGGGCTGGCTTGTCATCCCTGTGGGGATGGGTGTGTACACAGCTGTGCACATGGCAGACGGACACTCAGGGATTTACTGATAAATGAATGATTGTCCAACTTAGACTGGCTTCATATCTTCAGATGCAGAAAATTAATCAGCAGTTGTCTTAGTGTGGACTCTAGATAGGAAATGTGTCAGTCCCAGTATTGTGACTCTTAAAAACTCCATTTCCTCAGCTGTCTGATATGATTGATGGAAACAGGAGGCCCACACCTAAAATGACAGCCTCACTGGTATAAAGACATAAAGAGGGGAGATGAGGGGGAGTGGAGGGCTTGGGATTGAAACTGAATGTTATAAAGATGTGCCTTTCCAGAAATAGTCACTGAGATTCCTTCCAGCTTCTTCAGCCTCCTATTATTTTAGGGTTGAGTCCCATGCCTGCTCCCTTCTCATATGTTCATGGTAAGAGAGTTGCCGACCATTGAAATCCCTGAAAATCATCATTTTGAAGAAATCTAACTAGAAAACAGACTCCTCACAGCTTTGTTAAAAAAAATACATAGGCTTATGATTTTTCTTTTTTCTTTACATGACTGAATACTGTTCTGAACCAATTCTGAATGTCTATTTATCTACAGCCAAGTTACATCAGTGATGTGGGACCCCCTGGTCGAAGCTCTCTGGACAACATCGAGATGGCTTATGCCCGGCAGGTGAGCATGTTCTCAAGGAAGATTGAATCCAGGAAAATCCTACATGAGCCCTTTGGAGAGTAAAAGAGAACAAAGGCTTCATGAGAAAGTCAAACCCTGAAAGTTGGGTGTTCCTTCCTTCACAGGACTCGTTAATATTTTACCATCTCGGTTCCTGGAAATGTCTATCAAATTGGGTAATAGAATGACTCAGGTTTGATTTAGGGAAATTGAAATCTGCCCCATACACTGACCAAGGCATCACATTTTGCATTTGACAGCAACTCATGTACAGTAAGGCTTTGAGTAACTGCACTGTTAAGTAAATGAAGTTCTGTATTAACTGATTACCTGAACAGTGGATGGTCTTATCAGAAACCCTTCTTTATCCCTTGTTGAGAGAAATTTTCTAAGTGCTTTTCTACCTTGGTTAACAAGGAGGTGTACGCAGCATTGCCTAATATTGTTGTCCTGGAGAAGGTCACAACACTTTGGGGATCATGATTCTGGTTGTATATCATGACCATGCAATCATGTGAGTATGGATTGAGATGTTTTCTGGTAAAGCACAGGAACTCTCTTGACTGAAACTGAAACTGCCCTGAGGACAGTACACACCTGGAACTGACTTTGAATAAAGCAGTGCTGGCCACCTGCATATTTTTTTCTAATTTGCTGCTTTCCCGCACAAAGTATCAAGAAGGGAAAACAATCTTGTTTCTTGAATTGAGGGTGATGGGCTTCCATCTCCTTTAAGTCGTCCTGCACCAGCAGTGACCAAGGAAATTCTCCTCAGTCATGACCACCTGCCATGATTCTTTGAGGGGAGAGCACATTGATGCCACTGTGACCCTCAGCGTCATCCACCTCCTGTCTTCCCTCCAGCCTGGGGTGGGGTGGGCGCAGGTGAAAACATATGGCAGCTGTGGAGGTGAGCAGGGGTAGAGGGGCAACTGTTGGGCCCTGTGCCCTTTAACAGAGGTGTCTGCCTTCAGCTGCCAGTTACTTAGCAGATGGAGTCCTGCCTTAACGGAATTACTTGGTGAGCTGATATTATCAGAAATCCTTCTTGCACCCCTTGTTGAGGAAAATTTTCTAAATGCCCTTTTAAGCCTCTCTCAGTGTACCATCGCCATTTCTGACTCTGGGCATCCAAAGCCAACCACGTCAGCTTCCCGCATGCGAGTTCCCCTCCTTCCAGCTCCCTCGTGTTTTACTGCTGGGCCTTTGTTTACTTTCTTCTTCAATTTTTAGATCCCTCTGTTTCTCCCACACTACATCAACATTTTGAAAAATTTTGCTTTCATTATATGGCCGACTTCTTCCGTTACCACAGGCACCTCCAGAGTTCAGGCCTAATGAAATGATAAGCTTCTGAGGAGAGAAGCTGTGTATCTTATGTGTCTGTGAAGACTAAAGTTTCATAAGACTTAAGTTTCTAGCACTCAGGACACCATAATGTCATGTATCTGTGTACATGGCTGTCCTCTCCAGTGAAGAGTGAATCTTTATATTCCATATTGAGCACAGTACCCAAGGGAAGGCCCCTCATAAATGCTTGTTGAGTGAATAAACATCACCTTATAGTTTAAAAACCATTTTATTTAATCTTTATAGAACTCTTGGAGGCTACATATACTCTCCCCCATTTAAAGGAGAGGGAAGTAAGGTTTGCTGGGGTCCTGATTTGTCTCACATCACTGCCTTGTTCAGATGCAGAGTAGAACTTACTGGTTTTACCATCATGATGTTGGTTCTTTTAAAATAAAATCCAAAGTAGTGATTTTTCCATATCTTAAACATCACTTAGTTCCTTTTTCTTTAGAAAATTTTACTAAGGAGCCAGGATTTTTTCCCAGAGAAATGGGTATGTTTCTGGATGTGAAGCTGCTGTTCTTCCAGCACATGTGGAGGGCTATGACCCTGATGCTCCTTACTCAGTCCACAAAGCCTAGGCCTGGAGCCAGTCAGCCCTTTTGCCAGATAAGTTACCAGACTTTGTCTCGGGTTCTTAGGAAGCAACAGCAGGAGACCTTCCTTTGTCCCGTCTTCCCCTTTGGTCCTTGCTCTCTGGGACTTAGGGTCTACTGGGCAGAACAGTGCAAAACTACCTGTGGTACTCCTCCCGCGGGACCACCCTGCTCTGCTCCCACTCCTCAGGTGTTAGGAAGGCTGGGGTAGCAGTTAACTTCGGTGTGTGTTGATGATGCTGCCTGACGTTCAGACAAACTGGGAGCTGGTCAGAGCTCAGCCACCCTGAGGAAGGAAAGGTTGGCCGAAGCTTCTACAGACCATTCGGCAGAAGCTGATTTCAGAACTACTTCAAGGGGTTCTAAAAAGAAGAGGTGAAAATAGAAATTGTGCCATTTACTTTGCTTTTCATTTCAGATTTATATCTATAATGAGAAGATTGTAAACGGACACCTGCAGCCTAACCTTGTGGACCTCTGTGCTTCCGTCGCAGAGCTGGATGATAAGGTAGCTCCCAGAGCTGACCCAGGTCGAAACTCGGGTCCAGTGTTCTGATGGGATTAGCAGCTTGCTGACTTGGCAGAAATGTGCTGAAGAGAAACTCTGTGCCATGGAATAAGATGTAAACTGTTCTTCAGAGTTTTATTTTAAATAATTTTGGGGTGGTTTTTTGATGATTTTATATATATAATATATAGATAGATAGATATACACATATATAAATATATATATATATATTTTGTTTTTGTTTTTTAATATGTCTTCAAAAGGCTCAACCAGAATCAGTTAATGGTCACAGGAGTTCTCCTTGAGCTGTATTTGCTTTGAAGTTCTGTCAGGCTCCAACTTTTCCCTGCCAGTTTCCCTCCTTAGACAGACTAATCGGCTCTTTCACGAGATCTGAATTGTAAAGGTGGTGTGGTTTTCATTCCGGTGAGCCGCTTGAGCTTGACTCAGGTGGGGTCTTTACAAGCATTCCTCATATGCCACTGGTTCTAGTCCTCTGAACCCCCATCTTTATTCCTGTCCCACAGTTCTCATCATTGGCCAGTTTTTCCCCCTTAGAGGGAAAAAATAAAAAAAAAAGTGGATGGATAGATTGGTTGGTAGACAGGAGGAAGGGTTAAAGGAGGGCAGGATATAACAGAAGCAAGCACTCACACCTACATATTTTTATCTTCAAAAATGCGCCCAACTTTATTATTATTTTTAATTGTAAAGTATAAGGCTATACAAATCAACCTAAAGAAGAAAGTAAGAACTTACCTACCATCTCACCACCTAGAAAGAGTCGAATTTAGGTGAATTCTCTACAGTTTTTAATTTTTTGAGAGAGATACTGAAATTAGGATTTTCTTTTCTTTGGAAAAAGTGTAAACCTGCTTTTCTCCAAATGCTGCTGTCTTCCAAGGATTCTTAACTTTAGGATATTGCAAAAGGTTCAGGGAAGACATGTTTAAGGAGAGGTTTACAGCCAGAGGATTCTGGGAACAGGGGTCCAGCTGTGTGGTGGTAACACAGGAGAGAACGCTGGGCTTTTCCTAGGAGGCTAGCACAGGAGGCATCTTTTGAAGGGAGTGAGTAGGCAGGAAAATGGAAGACTGTGACGTTCACACAGTGGGGTAAGAGCAGTTGACCCTGGAGAGCCTATGAGAGGACAAAACCTGTATTATTTAGGTTAAACTCTTATTTTAAGCCTTAGAAGACTCAAATGACCTTGTAAGGACTGAAATACAGCTACTTGAGTTTAAACTCCTAGAGCTTTGGACAATTATAAATGTATTCACTCTCTTAAGGGATAACCCACTGAGATTCAATGTTCTTGTTACTTTTATGTAGTCTTAATTATGTAGGTGGTTATGTCAGACCTGAAATAGTGATTGATCTGAAAACCAACTCAGGACCTGGGCTGCTTGTGGAAATGTGGTAGCCTGGCAGCTAGCAGGGCAGAGGTGCATCTTCTGTACTGGGCTTAAGCCTGAGGGCCCAGATGGGAGGCCTCTTCCCCCTCCGCGGCCCACTTGCTTTTGGGTCAGAGTGCCCTGAAGAACCAGCCAGTGTCCCAACCCTGCAGCATTGTCACATGCAGTCTCTCGGTTACGCGCAGAACATCTCTGACATGTGGACCATGGTGAAACAAATGACAGACGTGTTGTTGGCGCCGGCGACTGACGCCCTGAAGAGTCGCAACAGCGTGGAAGTGCGCATGGAGTTTGTCAGGCAGGCCTTGGGATACCTGGAACAGAGGTAAGGCGGCGGCAGCACGGTGGGGCTGGCTTGAAAGTCCCCTGAAGTCAGCCGTTTGTCGTGTTTCAAGTAATCCTCAAGCTAAGTGCTCTGGAGCTGGTATAATTTAAACAAGGTTGAGCAAGTCTGAGAGGTGTAACCCTATTTTCAGAAATACTTCTGTACCAGAACCATTCCTGCAACGATATAAAATCATGGTGAGTGGGAACACTGAGCGCTGTTAGGCTTTTTTTTTCTCTTTCTCTGCTCTCTGCCCCTCAGTACACTGACATGATTATTAGGCCGGCAGGCCTTAGGTCAGGATCCTGATCCCTAGCGTGGTTCAGCCGTTACTCCTTAGGCTCTTTGTTTTCTCTCAGCTTTCTAATTTTCACACCCAGCATTACCACCTTCAAACCTTAGGCCCCTTGATCCTTTATTTTCCTTCTGACTATACTTGGTTAATTCCTGTGAGTCCAGATCCTTCCCAGCTGCTCACGCCTCTGATTTGTGCCTGGGTTTCTTTGCCGCCTCCTCAGTAATTGGAGTTGGTCACTGAGGGGTTTGTGGCTGTGCCCTTGTGCCCTAACCGTTGTCTCCCTCGTTGGTAGGGCCTCTGCCCTTCATCCCTCCCTGTGGACATTTCTTCTAGCTCTGAATTGGCCAGCGGGGGTTGTCATGAGTGTGCAACAGGCTCTCTTTTATTTCAGAGACAGGGTGCTGGGCCTCTCTCTGCTGGCGTGAGAAGAGAAAGCTGAACTGAATGCATTTGCTCAGTTGCAGCTCTTTGCCACTGAGCCTGTGCAGCTGCCGGTGGCTATTTAGCGTGATCACCCTTTGTCAACAAAATATACTTCATTAGGAAGTCAAGGTAATTCAGACTTGGTGCAGCAGAGAACAAGTTTTTATACCTAATACTGGATTAATTATACAGTAGCTATATAAGATGAACACCATCAGACATATTAAACTCGCTAGCTCCATTCCCTTGTTACGAAAAATCTGGAAAATCCAAGTGGTTTTTTCTTCCTTCTGGCATAGGCACAAAGAGTTCATAAAGTATTTCATCAGACTTCCACTAAATTTTTGTCATGTAAGTTTTGGGTGTATTGATCTTCAGCCATAAAGAACCTAATGTATATAATAGCGTTTATTTGCTGCAAGTCAGCAAAATATGAGTTAAAATTTCTTACAATGTGTAAAAACCATTAGGTTTTTTAAATGGGTGGAAGTCATGACTGCTTTTTCTTTAATAAACCTCATCCTTTACATTGGTGCTTGACTTCACTGGTAGTTCCAGGCTGCACTTTTTGGTTTTATATCTGTAAGCCTTCCTGCTTCTTTTATTATTTTCGTTTAGTTTTTTAGAATTATCTTGTCCCCTTAATTCCTTTAGCAGCACTTGGAGCTATTTGGGGGTTTCCTGTGCACAACTGTTATAACCTTATTTTCTTTTTCCACTCTAGTGGCATCACTCTCTGATGGCATCCTTTTTAAGGATTTTTTTGTCACCTTTTGATAAAGGGAATATTTCAGATAATTGTATTCACTTGTAAAATATTTTTGCTGTTGCTAATCCACCAGCAGTATAACAAGTAATATTTCAAGGGGTGTAATGCACTAGGTAGCAAAGTAGACCCAGTCCCAAGTGATTTTTTGAGTATAAAGCTGAAAATGTTGAGAAAAGATAGGGTTGGTCTGTCTTTCCTGCTGCATTCCAAATTTGAAGCAGGATATGCATTTCTTAGCCCCCAAGGAATTTAGGTCCCAAGGAACTGAGGCCCTTGCCAGCATGTGAGTTGTCTTCATTCAGGTTGAAAGAGACCATAGTGGGCTTCTGTTTGTTGTCTCTTCTCTAATCTCTTTTCCAGTCTCTGCTTTTAAATACTTTCAGTGATGGGGAACTCAGTATATTTGCTAAATTGATTTTGTTTATATATCATTATAAAAATACTACATGCTTATTATAGACATTTTGGAAGATGACAAAAAGAAGACCTGAAAAAGGGAGTGGTCCCCTTTACTACATTCAGAGGCTCCTGGTACCTTGTTATATTTTCTTTTCCCTCCTCTTTTTTTTGACATATGCGTATTTTGTTTGATTTTATTTTTTTGCACAGTTATGATCCAAAGGTGTACAATATATGGTTTTATATAGTTTGCTTAAAAATTTTTTTTGTCAGATCATTTTTTGTAACTTTATCAAATTGCATTGAGTCTGCTTTCTGTAATTGACATTCAGGTGTATTTCTCTCTGTCTCTCACTTTCTCTCTCTGTTACTATACTTAATCTGGTGTTGAACATCTTTGTGCATATGGAGCACCTGACTTTTTGAGGCAGTGTGTTTTGTTTTGGACAAGAAATAGGAAGTTCTTTATTGCATTAACCCCATGTTTGAATATCTATAACTCAGACCTTTTTTTTTAATTCTTTTAATTGAGTTACATTTATTTTACAATGTTGTGTCAATTTCCAGTGTAGAGCACAGTTTTTCAGTTATACATGAACATACATAGATTCATTGTCACATTTTTTTCCCTGTGAGCTACCACAAGATCTTGCACACACTTCCCTGTGCTACACAATATAATCTTGTTTATCTATTTTACATACGCTTGTCAGTATCTACCAATTTCAAACTCCCATTCTGTCCCTTCCCACCCCCCCCAAACTCAGACCATTTAATCTTTGTATGGAAACAATTTTAAAACACTGTAGAGGATTTTAAGAAGCATACTAGCCAATAGATGAAGAGGGAATGATAGAAAACCCTCTTCACAACCACCACTGTGATAATAGGTTCAGCAAGGACCATCAGTGGAAACTATTGGGTGAAAGATTATTGGTGAACAGAATATTTACATGATCTTCAAGTACTACCCCATAGAGTACCTATTAATTACACAAGGGAAAGGAAATGCTTTTACAGTGGTTAAATCTGGTGGACAGATTTGGTGGGCATAATGGTATTACCTGCCTCATTGTGGGACTCAGTGACAGTAGCAGCGTCAGCTGTGTGCCATTCTTGGCAAAAAAGTTGAACCTGGATTAGCTCATGAGGAAGCTGTGGTACATTATACAGGTAGCTGGCCTGGATTCTTTTGAAAAGGTCAAGGTCATGAATAAAGGTGGTAGAATTACCTAGATTAGGGAAATGAGAGTGGCATGACAGCTAAGTTTCATGCATTCCCTTGATTGGATCCCGGATTTTTTAAAAAATCTATAAAGGACATTATTAAGAAATTTGAATGTGTGTTATATTTTGGATAGTAACAGTATTTTAATGTTAAATTTCTTGGTGTCATAATGGTATTGAGGTTAGGTAGAAGAATGTCCTAATTCTTAGGAGCGATATGGTGAAGTATTTACAGATGAAGTAGTCCCTAGTTTCTGTATCTCTGTAACATGCAAATTGTTCAGGAAAAAAGTATGTGTACATGCGTGTGTGTATCTGTATGTGTAGAGAGAGAACAAACATGCATACAGATACTGACAATTTGTGAGTCTAAGTGAAGAGTATATGAGCATTCAGTGGACTATTCTTTTAATGTTTTGTTGGTTTGAAAGTTTTCAAAATAGTAAGTTCAAAAAGATCCCACTAGAGCATTACACTGTGAGCAGAAACTATTATTATTCTGCACATTAGCCCTTAATGCATATGAAGTCCACAATTATGTTGCTCCAGGGATTCTTTTGAGTATCTGCAGTGATGAGAAATCTTCACAATAATCCACTGCCCACTGAATAAATAATCTAGTTTGCTTCATTAAGCATGTACTGTTTCCTCTTCTGTGTTAGATTGAGGTCCGGGCCCTGCCCTGTGGAGTTCATAGTCTAATATTGTGAATTATGGACATAGATACATGTGATGTGTGTTTTCAACCTCGCTCTTTTTTGCCTTTAAATTTTTTTCAGTTATAAGAATTATACCCTTGTGACTGTCTTTGGAAACTTGCATCAGGCCCAGTTGGGCGGGGTGCCTGGGACTTACCAGCTGGTACGAAGTTTCCTGAACATTAAACTTCCGGCTCCCTTGCCCGGACTTCAGGTATTGGTATCCTTCTGTGTGATCAGTTACACCCCCAGAGCAGTGTCTCTCAGATAGGCGTTTTCAGTTTAAATGAGGTTATGTGTGGAAACTGCTGTATAGAGAACAGAGGATACAAGAGAGAAGCTGGGAGATCTTGGGAGGTAGTGATGCAGGAGTCTAGGTGCTGGTGGTGTTTGCTCAGCTAGGGGTGGAGGAGGTTGCAGGGGGGGTGATGTCATTGGGTTCTGGACATGCTTTGAAAGTAGACCCAGGATCACTGTGGAGTAACTTAGCTGTGGGTGTGAGCAGAAGAGTTGGGGATGACTTCTTAGATTGTTGGCTTAAACAGCTGAAAGAACAGTTAGATATCATTCCTAGAAATGTGCCTTTCTTCTTAAGTCATAGTCCAGTTACAGTCAGATACTTGCTGTGTGCAAAGTGCTAAACCAGAGCTTTGTACCAAAGGCAGTGGGATACATAGGAGGCTGGCTTCATGCAGGACGGGAGGCTCACGCTCGCGCTTGAATAATAGGGGCTCAGCAGCCAGGGATCTTGGGGAAAGGGTATTCCAGGAGGAGGGAACAGCATGAACAAATGCATGGAGGCAAGAATGAGTATCAGGCATGTCGGGTGTGTGGTAGGGCTGTCGGCTTGGGGCCGGCTGGTGAAGGCATTAGTTCTAGTCTAAGCACTTGGGATGTGAACAGCTCAAAGGGGCTTGAGTGGGGAAGTGACACTATCAGATCTGAGTTTTAGAAAGAGTCCTGCTGAGGAAAGAGTGGAGGGGCCAAGAAAGGGAGTCTGAGGTCCACATCTCTGGAGGTGTTGGGGAGAAGCAGAGAGGAGTGACCACAGGGCTGCTCACAGGTGATGACAGAGCCAGTTTTAGGAGGGAGAAGCTCCACTGCTGGGAGACTGGGAACAGAACTACCTTTTTAGATTCCCGGTACCTAGCACGGTGTCTGAAACAAAGATACTCAGTAAGTGAATGAACAACTAACGGGTGAATGAAAGTGCCAACATCCATTTGGTTAATCACTGATGGTTAATACCTTATAAACTCAAGTGTGATGATAGTCTCTTACTGGTCATTGACCGTCTTTAGCCCTTCCTTTGTCGGGGTTGCAAGAGTACAAGTCTGTAAATTATCACAAGAACATGTCACCTGATTACTGCAGGGTACTGGGGTTCCATGAAGAACCCACTGGCTAGCTTTGAATCAGGTGGGGCACAGTACTGCAGAGAAAGGCTCTAGAGCCAGACTGCCACTTACCAGCTTACCTTGAGCAAATTACTTGACATCCCCATGCCTCAGTTTCCTGGTTTGTAAAACAGGAAGGAGGAGGCCATTCATGGTTCCTACCTAATGGAGTTGTTGTGAGATTAAGTAACTTAATACAAAAAGAGGGCTTAGCTAAGGGCCAGCACTGATCTGAAAGCTATCAGTTAGTTTTTGTTTGCCTGTTTATCTGAATACCTTTCCTTTTTTAGGATGGAGAGGTGGAAGGCCATCCTGTATGGGCATTAATTTATTACTGCATGCGCTGTGGAGACCTGCTTGCCGCTTCACAGGTGGTTAACCGAGCCCAGCACCAGCTGGGAGAGTTTAAAACCTGGTTCCAGGAGTACATGAACAGCAAGGACAGAAGGTATAGTGATGAGATGGTGCAACAGGAGAAGCCACGTGGAGTCAGCAGGGTGGCCTCTGCTGGCATTCCTCTCTTCCCTGTGCCTGGCTCCAAATAAGTTTCTATTTGGGGAAAAATGAAGTTTAGAAAGTGAATAGAGCTCGGGAGAATAGCGGTTGAAAACATTGAAAGAGCCCCATTCTAACACCAACGTCTAGATGTGCAAAGTCCAAGACCCATTAAGGATGCTTTAAAAAATGAAACTCCGCTGTATTGCACTTGTTCACACTTAGTTCCTTTCTGGTTAGCCCAAATGAAAATATATTGTCATGTACTTCATAGCTCAAAGGCCAGAATTAGAAGTTCATAATCTTGAGATTAATTAATTCACTAAAATTTTTAAATTAGTTCTCTTTCATTAAGGAACTGCTAAGCATTAGTTTTTCTCTGGATTTTGTTAATGTAATTGGACCTAAGTTCATGTTTGAACCCAGTTTAAATATATGTACATGTATGTTGAAGAAATAATGGTGGTTACCCCAGTTATACTTGTGGAAAATGAGGGTTACTTTTTTAGGCAGTGTCAGTAATGCCATGTCCAGAGATTGTCTGAGACCATAAGCTCCTGTCTTGCTCATACTAGAGAATGTAAAGTAGGAATAATGTCTTAGGTTTCCCCCAGAAGGAAATACTGGGGCATGGATTTCAGAGCAGGGAGTTTATTTGAGAGATGATCTCACATGGTTTAGGGAGTTGAGAGGCCAGAGCAGGGTCAAGACAGTTAAGGGACTGACTCACTCTTGTCCATTGCTGCTTGAGGGCTGTGGGGGAGTATGGCAGAGGATTAATTCCCCAGTTTCTCACATGCACCTGAAGGCTGCTACTGGAGGAAGCCAGCAAACAGAGACAGAGGTGCTGGTAGCTGCACGTGTGGTACCAGGGGATATGGGTGGGGACAGTGTCTGTTAGCCTTGGTGAAGGAACGCTTCATATCTCTGTTATGTGTTGGGGATCTGGGTGCTTTTAGATGCCTCTGAGGATCTTTAGCATGTGTGTCTGTCTGTTCCCTTGTGTCTTTAGGTTGTCCCCAGCAACGGAGAACAAGCTCCGACTGCATTATCGCAGGGCCCTCAGGAACAACACAGACCCCTACAAACGGGCTGTGTACTGTATCATTGGCAGATGCGATGTCACCGACAACCAAAGTGAGGTGGCCGACAAAACCGAGGACTACCTGTGGCTAAAGGCAGGCGCTGCTTCCCTTGCCCAGTAGGCGTTCGCCCCTTCCCTTTGCTTGCATTCTGTACATAAATTTTATTACTTAATGTATGATGCCAGTAAGGTGCTGGACTAATGGATTTCCTGGCTTGTTTTTTGTTGTGTAATATCCCCAACCAGTAGCACCGCCATGGGCGTAGCCTTGAGTACAGCTGCTGAGTGGCTGTGAATCTGTGTGCGCCTTAGGAAGGAGTTTGTACCAATGCCCGTGTTTCTTTTGGGGGTTTAGTTGAACCAGGTGTGTTTCGATGATGACGGCACCAGCTCCCCACAAGACAGACTGACGCTGTCTCAGTTCCAGAAACAGCTGTTGGAAGACTACGGTAAGATACCCCATACATAACTACCTCCTCTCTCTTGTCCACCTAAGGTCAGTGCTTGGTTTTTTTTCTGAGAATATCCTTCATCTTTGAACTCTGTGTCTCCTTCGAAACCTTGGTGATCTTCAAAACACAACACAATAACGATTTCAAATATGAATAGAGGCCATGTGGCCATAAGCAGTGTACGTGACTTACATGATCATTTACAGTACACTGTTTACTCTAGTTCTTTGAGCTGCTCTGGTAGACATTTGCTCAGGCAGAGACATAAGAGGACTTAGCTATTCCTTCCTTGTAAATCTCACAGTGACTGTATCTGAGCACAGACAAGGAAGAAATAGCTTGTCTTTTTCCCTTCTCTCATTGTTTAAAAATTCTGGGAAGAAAAGTTTCCATCTAGCGGTCAGCAGTTGTTGAATACAGGTATTTGGGAATCTGAGTGAACTAAAGCTTTGAAATCTTCATTCCTCTCCTCATTGAGTGACTCTTATCAAGATAAAGAAGATAAACACCCTCTTTCGTATTCTATGTTAAAGTCCTGAACTCTGTCTCTCTCTCACCTAATGCAAGCAGTTTGGGTTTTACAACAGGGCCTCTACTTGCCAGTTGTGTTGTGAGGTGTAGAGAAGGTCGTGGGCTCAGGGCGCAATTGGGGTGGGAGTCTGCTGTGTCCGGAGCCCCGCCACCCATTCAGGCTGTGGCTCATGCTTTCCTCCCGCCCCACAAGCCCTTTAAGCGCACGAGGTTTCCGCCTGGGATCGGGGCTGCCAGTAGGCTGGCTCCTCCTGAGTCAGCTTTATCTCTTCCCTCCCCAGGCGAGTCCCACTTCACGGTGAACCAGCAGCCCTTCCTCTACTTCCAAGTACTGTTCCTGACGGCGCAGTTCGAAGCTGCCATTGCCTTTCTCTTCCGCATGGAGCGGCTGCGCTGCCATGCCGTCCACGTGGCGCTGGTGCTCTTTGAGCTGAAGCTGCTTTTAAAATCCTCAGGACAGAGCGCTCAGCTCCGTGAGTATTTTTTGGCAGTGGCATAACCATAACACATCCCCCATCGGGTGGCAGTGGACACATAGCTGCTGCCAATAAGAATTTGGGCAAATGGTTCCGATCATTTTAGAGTGTTTAGCCTGTGTTTCTGGAGGCCTGGACGGGAGGAGGAGGTAGTGGTGCTTGACTTGCCCAAATTAGTCTGTACCCAGGTGGAATTGGTACATTAAGTATCTTAATTACACCATTTGGTTACCACAGTGATTAGAGAGACAAGGGTTAAATAGGGCTTGTCTTTAAAGAGTCCTGGAAGGAAGTGAGGTGTGAGAGAATAAAAAATGCATCTAAAGGACATTTTATTTTATTTTTTTAAGGACATTTTAGGTAGGAAGAAGGTAGAAGGGTATTCTCCTGTGGGTTAAGAGGTATGAGGCTGATTAATGAGCATGTGAAAGCTAGCAGGTTGGCGTGCATGTATCTCAGAGCAGAATACCAAACTTCCTGCAGGTCCTGGGTCTGATGTTTAGTTACTGTTAAAAAGAGAGATGGAGGGGAGGGTATAGCTCAGTGGTAGAGCTCATGCTTAGCATGCACGAGGTCCTGGTTAATCCCCAGTACCTCCATTAAAAAAAGAAAAGAAACAAAAAAAGAGAGAAAGAGAAACAAAACTGTTGTAGACAGTTGGGCTTCTGGGATGATTAGTGTTTGGGTTCTTGCCTTTTGCCCTCCATTAGTATTAGTCCCTGGGTTTAATATATAAAATGCTGTACAGTTTATGGCCAGTCAGTCAGGTTGCTTGGAGGGTGGTACAGGAGAAGCAGTCCCTAAAATCCTGAGTCTGGTTCCCATTTAGGGCTCTAATTAGAGACATTGGAAACCCCAACCAGCCATCTTCTGTGCATACCTGCATGGGGTGGGAGTCAGAGAAGGGGAGGGAGAGAAGATAAGTGTGCATGAATGGCTGCGACTTCCTTAGTAGCACAGAAAACTCACCCCAGAGCACATGCCATAATGGTCACTTGTCTCCATCTCTTCACTCAAAGACCAGCACACTAGTAATTTACTACAGAATGCCGTTTTCTCCACTTTGTACTTGGGATGGAATTGAGGACAGGATGGTGAAGGGGACTGGCCAGAGCGCACACTGGCAGACGTTGGGCTGCAGGAGTAGGTGCTGCTGGGTCTTTGGATTCAGTTCCCATAGTTCTTGGTCACGTGGGTCAGGCAGGCGGTGTGGTTGTGACCAGCTCTCTCACCCTCGGTGCAGTCAGCCATGAGCCTGGCGACCCTCCCTGCACGCGGCGGCTGAACTTTGTGCGGCTACTCATGCTCTACACCCGGAAGTTTGAGTCCACGGACCCAAGGGAGGCCCTCCAGTACTTTTACTTCCTCAGGTTAGACTGGCCACTTTTGACCATTGACTTCAGCTGGTTTTGATTTCTGCCATTCTGAGAATGGCGATTAGAAACCTTGAGACCACACAGGAAACCATGTTGTTTTTGTCCCCATCCAGGGACGAAAAAGATAGTCAAGGAGAAAACATGTTTCTGCGTTGTGTGAGCGAGCTGGTGATAGAAAGTCGAGAGGTATATCTGTTTTCTTTTCTCTGCCACCTGTGATTTCCAGTATATGTGTTCTCATGCTAATGTGATACTGGATGGTCAGCTCAGTATGAGTATGGTGAATGTGGGCGGGGTGAGGGGGGCGGTTAGAGGTTTTTTGGTTGCTGACAGTGAAAATATTAATTCAATCTCACTGTTCTCTAGTTTGTGCAAGACTTCTCCCATCTCCCCAAGTCCTTTCTTTCGTCTCCAAAGAATTGTGTATTATTATGTCTATATCCTTGTTCAGTAAATTGCATAAACTTTTTTTGTCTCTGCAGTTCGATATGATTCTTGGGAAACTAGAGAATGATGGAAGTAGAAAGGTGGGTTAAATGCACCCCTAAATATTTGTTAGTTTGGAGTAGGGAATTTATAATCGTTCAAAGAATACAGTTAGATTTTAGGACTCAAGGTACTAAAGATGCAAATCTGAATGAAGTTGCCTAGTTTTAAAAACAAAGAATGAAAATTACAGGCCCCAAATGGTGACCTTGATTTTATGCACATTTATAGTTCTCCTTAAAATATGTAAATTTATGATTAGATAGCTTTTTAAATTATGTTCAGAATACTCATCTGTTCGCGCCTGCCATTTTTTGAGCTGAGAAGGCTGCATTTCTGCCATTCTTGGTTCAGAAAATATGCATGAAAGGAATTGATTACTACACCTACTCTCCGCAGATGAGAAAGTTAGAAATGCACTTGACCTCTCTCAAAAGGTAGTTTCTGAGGGCTCAGAGCTCTACACTGACCCCAGAGATACAGCTACTCCTGTGTGTCTGAGCGATTCTGAGACCTGTCATGCCCACTGGGCAATGTAGTAGAAGGCACAGAGGCCCTGGCATCAGACCAGCCCTGACCCCTCACGGGCACTCTCCTTGTGGCCTCGGGGAAGTCACCTGCCTCTAGCAGCGGCTCATTTTCTTCACTTGTAAAAATGGGTGGCTTAGAGCCAGGATCTTGAGATGAGCTTATGCTGCTCACTCACCATCCAGCTCAGAAGGAAGACCAATGGCAGTGCTGGTGACAGTGGCCATTCTTATTGAGCAATGACGGCTGCCAGGCCTTGTACTGAACGCTTGGTGTGTATTTTCTCACGTAATCACCACAATAACCCAACATAATGGGAAACATTACCTGTTTTCCAAGGAAGGAAGTGGAGAGAAGAGAGGTTAATTATTTTCGTCAAGATCATGCAACTTGTAAGAAAGGGAGCTGGAATTTGAACCCAGTCCTTCTTGACCCCTGAGTCCATGCCCTTCACTGATCTCCTGTGCTGCCGGAGTGACTGAGCAGGTCACCCCAACTTGGTCCATCGCTGATGGAGAATCACAATGGCTAGTCAGATGTGCAGTCCTCCCTCTCCGTGGTTCCCAAAGCCTCTCTTATACCCTCCTGACCATTTGGTTGCCATTGAGTGACAGAGTTTTTTTTTATCCTGACACCACTTGACATATATTTTTCAGGACTGGGTTTCTTTTGCCATCTGTTTTAGAGAGCAAATCCAAAATCTTTCAGATATTTTCTCTGAGCCTTCTAATTTTTTTCCTCGCTAGTGCTTACTCATCAGCAAAGTTAAAATCATTGATGATTTCATCTACCCTCGGTCATTTTGGAAAATTAGAAAGCACAGAGTCTTATTGCTGACTCCTCTGTGCAGCACGTTAAGTCAGCCTCTTCACGTGTGGCTTTTTCGGTCCCTTTCATATGTTTAATAGGCACTTGTATCTTCAAGAAAGCCAGAGTCCAGCTGATGAAATACATGCATTGCCCAGGGCAAGCATTTTCAGTTAAAGTAGTTTTCTGATCCCAGTTGTTTCTCTGTATTTAAAATAACAGCTCTGTGCACCTGTTTCTCTCTTCCTTCCCCTCCATAATTTGTCTTGTCAGCCTGGAGTCATAGATAAGTTTACTAGTGACACAAAACCTATTATCAACAAAGTTGCCTCCGTGGCAGAAAATAAAGGACTGTTTGAAGAAGCAGCCAAGCTTTATGACCTTGCCAAGGTAAAATGTGCCCTTTCTTTCTTCTTCACCTAATAGAGCTGTCAGCTTTTTGGCATTAAATGCACAAATATTTCGAGGATGCCATTGTTGTACCCTTCTTCCTGCTGAGGCATTTTCTCCCAGTGCTTAGATAGTTAATGGTCCGGTCAGGGTGAAATTCCCATTTTACAGAATTATTTCTACCCATGAGGTATTTCTAGCCAAACCAGGGAAACATATTGAAAGGCTGTCCTGTGGGCATTGAGCTGTAGTCTCACCTGGCAGCAGAATCAGTGTCCATCATGTTTGGAAGGTGAAGCTGCTGGTGAAAATGCCTTGTGCACAGCCTCTGGGCAGCCACAGACAGGCCGCTGTGATAGGTGTGTGTTAAGAGTTAAAACAACAGCCAAGGTGTTTTGAGAAAACTGGAGTAAGTAGTTCTATGTAGGAACGTACACATGATTGTGTAGACTGAAAAAGATTATTCTCTCCTTTCATCAACTGAGAAAAGTGGACAAAAAGAGGATTATAATTCATTTTTTTAATTTAAAATTGTTTGATTGAGGTCTAATTAAAAAGTAGAAAAATGTACAAATATTCGGTGTACAGCTTGGTGGGTTTCCCATAGGTGTATTTCTGTGTCACCACCACCCAGATCAAGATACAGAACATTTCCATCTATCACTTCCCAAAAAGTTTCCTCTTTTGTTTTGGTTATTTGGTCTTTTCCTCCTGTTGATTATTTTTAATTGATTCCTTCCTTAATTAAAAAAATCAAACAGAATGCAGACAAGGTGCTGGAGCTGATGAACAAACTGCTCAGCCCTGTCGTCCCCCAGATCAGCGCACCACAGTCCAACAAGGAGAGGCTGAAGAACATGGCGCTCTCCATCGCGGAACGGTAAGGCCGGAGCCAGCTGCCAGGGGCCCTGGGGGTCCCAGCACCAGCCAGGCTGCCAGTGCCCACCCAGATGCATCTTCAGCTTTGCTGTAACATCAGACAGTTCTCCAGAGTGGCTCTACTGACTCTCAGTCCCACCAGCACTTAGAGTTTGAGAGTTCCTGTTCCCCCACATCATAACCAAAACTTGGTATTGTCAGACTTAAACATGTTTTGCCAAAAAGAATGGTATGAAAGGGTATCTCAACATTTAAATCCTGCACATAAGTTTTCATTCTAGGTATTATATTCATCTATATGCCATTACCAGCCATTACAAAGGCATTTTAGAGCAAAGCTAGTGATGGATGGATGGGGGAATTCTTCTAGTGTTTCAGAATCTACTTCTTCCCTGTGAGTTAGTGGAGTTTTCATAACTTAACCAGTGTAACTCCCAGGCTGGGAAACATTCATTACTTTTTGTGCCTCTAGATACTTCTAATAAAGTGACCCCAAGAAAATGGGGTTTGAGATGCTTTCCTAGGGTAGCACAGAACATTCTTCGGCAAAGGAGGTATCTCTACATGACAAACCATCCCTGGTGATGGCTCCTGGGGTTTGGCTCATCAGGACCTTTCACTCTTCTAGAGATTTGGATGCTGAGTTGGAGCTGAGGCTAGAGAACCATGCTTCGTACAAAATATTTATAGGTAGACTCCTATTAAATCCATCATCAAATGCTTGGCTATTTCAAAAGAAACACTATTTTCTACTCCTTAGTTCACCTCAGCTGGAGAGTTTAAGGGATTTTGACATCTTAAAATGCTACCCTAAATTTACAGATTACACAGAAACTCATAAGGTATCCCTGTCTCCCTTCCCCCTTTTTTGTCTTTCAGGTATAGGGCTCAGGGAATCAGTGCAAATAAATTTGTGGACTCCACGTTCTATCTTCTGTTGGACTTGATCACATTCTTTGACGAGTATCACAGTGGGCATATTGACAGAGCCTTTGATGTAAGTTTCAGGAGGGGTGTTTGAAGTGTGGGTTAATATATGCCCTTGAAAAATCAAAACACCTCGTGGGATTCATTTGAAACAAAGCAAATGTCACCAATATGCCTGTTAAGTGAAGCAGGACAAGTATGATCCTGGGAATTTAAAAGGGACTTCTAGGTTGCTTTTTTTTTTTTTTCCTTTTTCTTTTTTCTATTCTTTTCCTGTTTAGTCTGAAAACAGAGAGGTCTCTCAAAGTAATTTGAAATCTCCAAAATTATAAAATTGCCTCAGAAAATGAGGATAAGGATTAAGTCATAAGCAAGTTAGAATCAAAGCCTTTGTGTGAGGGGAAGTAGCATTTCCTATGAAGAAGCCCTTTGTTAGATGCTGACTGTGTGTTTCAGGAGATGAAATGATTGACGGTTGTATCATATGGGGCTGGTGCGTTTTGTTTTAAACAGATAATTGATCGCTTGAAGCTGGTACCCCTGAATCAGGAAAGTGTGGAAGAAAGAGTGGCTGCCTTCAGAAATTTCAGTGACGAGGTGAATCCTTTTCTTCCTGAATTATAAAATTCTTTTTTTCCCCACTTCCACTGAAAGCTTTTGTTTTAATGTAGCCAAAACTTTAAGAGTCCTAATATAGTCACCATCCAGACTGAGTTTTCTAAGATGAATCCAGTATCAAGTGTCCCGGGCTGGTTTTTCTGTGAGTACGCATATGCTTATCAGAGTATTATCTGAATTCTTGACTCAGAAAATAAACTTGCTTTAGTGATCAGATATGTTCTGGCTGATCCTGTGCAATCTGATTTAATTCTTTGTTATCCCCTTGTTCTAGAGGGTGTGTCAGTGCTTAACTCTGATCTTCTCTAAGTAGTTCCATTGAGCACATGAAACATGCATCATGATTCACTTCCTTCCCTTCTCTGGACTGTTTTGTCTCAAGAAGCAGGTGCAGTGACCATGGACTCTGTTATTAGCTGGAGATCCCCAGAGCCTCTGTCTCTCTGCAGAGTTTTTAGCATGTTGTCACTGTCTAGGCCAAGGGTGCTCGTCTAGGCCAAGGGTGCTCACCTAGGCTGCGCACTGAAATTGCTAGGAGACCTTTAAAAAAAAATCTTCATGCCCAGGCCAGAAATTCTAATTTCCCTGATCTGGGCTGCAGCCCAGACCTCCCTGGTTATTCCCATGTGTGACTGGATAAGACTCTTCTCTAGAACCACTGACAGTCAAGACCAGCTGCCTGGTTCCCAGATGTCCCTAACAGTGTCTCAATTTAAAACTGCTACTCAGTAAGCACATTCCTAAAAGGAATTTATGAAAACATGTTTCTGATGTAGAGGAAGAAGGAAGGCCAGCTTCTGCGCACATGGAGGGGCACTTGCCTCCTGTGGTACTGAACGCAGTTCAGAAGGTCTTGCCCCTTGCCAGCCTTCTCTCCACACCTGCTGCCATGCTACCCCTAGCCACTCCTCCTCCTGTTGTTTCTGCCTTCCCCTAGTTATATCATTCACTGTGTCATGGACTGAAGGGGTGTACCAGGGCCTGTCTTCGTAGACACTCCCAAGGACTTTACTGGGGGCTGTGCAGATCCACTGGAGACAGTCTGCTCGGTCTGAGACAGTGGGGTGTAGTGGGGACCAGAGAACTAGCATGTGCATCCTTACCTGCTGACACTCAAATGCAGACTCTCTTGGATGATCACTCTGCTGGCCAGACGTAGTCAGCATGCTTTTGGCTCGCTGCCCCTGCCTAGGAGGACTGGCATAAAGAAGGGAGCAGAAGGGTGACCCACCCGACCTTCTGAGCAGCGTTGCCTGGGCTTTCCTCTCATGCTTGACATTTCAGTGCCGTCGGCTCCTTTTTGGTGGCTGTGTAGGGCTCCACCTGGCAGCTGTGGGCATGTGGCATAACCAGGCCTGCCTGGAGCACCGCTCCCCGCCTCCCCTTGCCTATTGTTTCCCCCAGGGCTTGGCTCTTTCTCCTTATTTCATGTGTTTCTCTCTGTACAGATCAGGCACAACCTCTCAGAAGTGCTTCTCGCCACCATGAACATCTTGTTCACACAGTTTAAGAGGCTCAAGGGGACGAGTCCATCCTCAGCATCCAGGCCCCAGCGAGTCATCGAGGACCGTGACTCTGTAAGACCCCAGCGTTGGCCAGAACCATCGCTGAGAACCACCTTTCTGGTTTGCCATCCACTGCACCTCCTGAGACCCCTACTCATGACCCTAAACTGCTCGATTCTTTCCTACCTGGCATCTGGGTACAGCTTGTGTCGGGGGCTCCCAGAAGAAATTGACCATTAATGGCATTGCTGCTCTTCTCAAACCAAAAAAAAAAAAGATGTGCCAAGTTAGCGAGTAAGCAAATATCACCATTTAAAAACAGAAAGCGAATCTGTAGTGATTCCATAAGAATTTCCTGCTCATTTTAAAATATAAGGTTATTTTATGAGTCTCAGTTCAGGGCTTTGATGAAAATCATACTTACTTTTGATCAACAATTTGATGCCACTCTTGTTTCTACTCTCATCTGAGTGTCGCAGTGACTCCAGAGAGGTACCTAAGGCAGTCGTTGTTATCCCCATTTCACAGCTGCAGGAACTGAGACTTGGGGCAGGAGGCATCTTGCTTTTGTGGGCCCCTTAGGTGGTAGGTGAAGGAACCATGTCTGGAAGCCGGGTCTGTCTGACTCCAGGCCGGCGCCCTTTCCACCGCCTGTGGGGCCTCTGGCATTGCCTGGGTCACGCACGGTCCAGGTAGGTAGAATCCTGGGGCTCACACAGTGTATGGTGTACAGTTGCCTTGACAAAAGGGGAAAGATATTTGACAGGATTAAACCATTAAAACTGGTGATGTTTAAAATTACCTTTCCCTTAAGGTTTCCACTTAATGCTTGATGAGACTCTCAGTACAGTGTATAACAGCCACACTTGATTTTGGCAATCAAGAAACTAGAGACTTGAAAATCTGTCTTCTGCCTCCAAGGATGTCTGTGGGCTCCCTCTGCTCTGACCCCCGCAGGCACTGTCGTTGACAGAACTCCTGCCTCGTGAGTGATGGTGGAAGTTTTCACCCCTAGCAGCATATGTAGCAGTCCTCAGGAGTGGGCCACTGATGGGGTAGGCCCACCGACGTGTGCACCAGTGGCGGCTGCTGGTCTGCTGTCTGCCCTTAGACAGGCCAGAGCCTAAACAGGAGACATGCCAGCGGCAGGCTCACTGTGCGTGGGCCTTGGCAGCCTGTTTTTATGATGAAAGAAGCCCAGGGCAATGCTGTTGTGAGTGAGTACTGAAATGGTGGGAGTTTCTGGTACTCTGTATGCTGCTTATAGGTCAGAGCAGGCCTCGATCACAGACAGCGGAGCCCGTAAGCCTGGCAGACTGATTTTCCACATCTAAAGGGAACTGTTTGAAGAGCAGCTAACCTCACATTCTGTGTGTTTTACTCTCTCTTTTTTTAGGCACTTAGTTTTTACATATGATGGATAAGGCCATTCTCCTGTCCTCCTCTTGCCCATCACTCTCCTTTGTAATGAGAGGTAGGGGTGAGACTTAGTGGAAAAGCTGCCTGCCCAACAAGTGGCTCCACGGTTTGAGGTGCACTGCTGCCCAGTGGGGGGATGGCTCCCTTGGCCTGAACACCCCTGGAGCCCATTTAAAGTAGCTTCAAGTTAGGCTTGGGAGCCTGTGCATGTTTATGCACTTCTAAAGAAAATCTAACAGGGACTCTCATCATAAAGTACATTTCTTTTGGTGTGGACATTAATTAGGACCTATATTTGCCAATTTATTTCACCTCAGGTAAAAGGCACTTGCCTTTCAGTTTTCTTCTTGAATGGTCCTTAAGAAGCCTAGTAAGTGACCCTTGAATTTCCCTTAAAAGTGTTGTTACCGGTCCAAAAGATGTGTGTAAACCCTCCCTTTCTAATCCAGATGTGGTTTCCTTTGTTGCTGGTATAAGCATCCAGCATACCTCAATATGGGGCAACCTGAAGCTGTCCTCCTATGTCTGTTTACTCCTTATTCAATAATTTATCACTTGGAAATTGGAGTGAAGGTTCTTTTTTCTTTTATTGGAAACATCTGAGTCAAAATCTTTTTCCCTCCTGGAACAACCCAGGAATCCCATAAATATTGTTGCCTGAGAAAAGAGGGCCAAGCACTTTTGTCAAGAAGGAATAAATGGAAGGAGGTAAAGGAGGGGAAGGGGAAAACACAGGAGAGGAAAAGAGCTGGAATGGGGCTGCACTCAGGCACAGCCATTGCCTCTGGTCATGCAGGAGCTTCATGGGGGTCCCAGAAATTCATCCCCATGGAAACAGGTGGACGGAAACCAGCCAGGAGAGGCTTGGAGAGGTAGAGCAGGCCGCCTGAAGCACAGGGCTGTGTCAGCAGCTGGTCAGAGGTGTCAGGAGAGGCAGCTTGCCTGGCAGACCCATCTAACTTTTGCTAAGTAGAAAGGCTTTGGAACTGGGGCCCCGGTGGCCAAGCTTTGCTAACTGCACCGTACTGGAGGAACATGACAGTGGAGGGTACGGCTGTCGTACACCTACCAGGAATCTGCCCCTGATACCTAGGGGTAGAAATGGAAGGACGTGGTGGTGGTTCCCGGGACAGTGCCCTGACTCAAAAGTTAACTGGGTTTCTTCTCTTCTTCCTCTTTCTCTCAGCAACTCCGCAGTCAAGCCCGGGCCCTGATTACCTTTGCTGGGATGATACCATACCGGACATCTGGGGACACTAACGCGAGGCTGGTGCAGATGGAGGTCCTCATGAACTAAGTGTGATGCTCTGAGGGGCTGTCAGTACCTCAGGAGCGTGGGCCCGCCAGGGGGGAGGGGGTGTGGTGGGTCGTTTCTGGTTTTGTTTCTGTTGTGTTTGTTTTGTTTTATTTTTTGTATTATGTATTTTTGTCAACACCAATAAATTTCTTTGATTTGTATTTCTTTTCACATTCTTTTATTTTCATTGTTTTTTTTTTCCTTTGAAATTTTGTTCTAATTATTATTTGTGTGGGAGGAAATGTCTTTCTGCTTGGGCCAGAAAATGATAGGCTTATATAGGCGTCTGTGATTTGGTTAAAGTTGGCCTTAAGAGATTAAAAATTCACCCAAAATGAGCGAGGAAATGAAGCCTTTGGGAGTTGCTTTTATTTAGGTATAATATTCCTTGTAGCAGGGTCACATTTGCTTTTCACGTGTTTATTTGAATATGAAAGCCAGCCTTGGCCTTGAGTGAGTTAAGACTTGCCTGTGAAATACCGAGCCCTCCATGTCCTCCTCCCTCTTCCCTTGGGTGTTCCTTGGGTCCCGGAGGTCCAAGACCATCCTCCAAAATGATCTTCTCTGATCCCAGGATTAATTGGTTTACTGTTCTGTTGAAATCCCACTAGAGATGAAAACATAGGCCTAGAAAATGATAGCCTTAAAAAACGAACATCCAGCTGGAGCTCGAGGAAGGGCAGACCTTCCTGCTCCTCTCTCTGTAGCTGCCCCACTGAGAGGTAACTGCCTGGGCTTGTGCACTCCCCTCTTCAGGAGGACTTCTAAGCTCCTCTTTTCCCTTCTTTGGTGGTTGACTCTTCTGCTTGGTCAGCCCTCCCTCCCCTTCCCCACTCATGAAGCCAGTTGACCAGGCCAGCTCATGGGCCTCATTCCAAGTGTCTGACATATGGAGTCCAGACGCCAGTGGGCATCTGCACCATGGGTGTGTGGCCCCTGCAGAGGCTGTCTCCAGTCATTGACCCTGTTTCTCCCGCCACCAGTCCTGAAGCCTTGGACTAAACTGGAGAGAAAATGAGGACATGCTTGTTCCTGAATGGGCCAAGTGGGGCTCTGAGAAGTTGGGCGTGGTAAGCCTCTGCTGGTTTTATGGGCTGCTCCTGAGGCAAGCCCTCCCAGGAGGATGTCAAGATCCCCAGAGACTCCAAAAATGCTTTCTGCTCCTAGGGAGAAAACGCTGTCCCATTGCAGGGCTTGGTTACCCTCACAATCCTCTCGTGGTAAAAATACTAATTGTTGCCTTTCCTCACGGTAGAGAGCTGATCTGTAGATAATGGCACCATCTGTTGGATTCCGTTTGTGTCCCTCAAGGATGGAGCCTGCGGGGCTGTGGGGGCTGCTTCCGTCTCCCTCCTCTAGGCCCATCTATTTACTTTCAATTGCACGTTCCTAAAAGTGGAAGACAAGCCCTGCAGGGGACTTGATTTAGCAAGGTTTGCCTGTTTATTTGTACTGATTTATATTTTAAACAGTCAAACGATTTGCTTCAACAGTGCTTTAAAAAGAGGACTCTGTGGACTTTCCACAAAGTGTTCTGTTTTTTTAATACTAGATCTTGTAGATAGAAGTATAATGGTGCCATAAAGGAGAGAAGGCTCAAGTTGTTTAAATACGTATTCACTCCCTGGCTTACCTTTTGTTCATCATCTCACTGTGGGAATGAACTGTGAATTTGCCTTTCCTTGCGCCCTGCAGTTCTGCCTGCTTCAAAGAGGAGAGCTGCACGTGAGCCCTGCATAGCAAGGTGAGGGCCTCCACCCTTTGACAGAGGGAGGGTGAAGCCACCAGATCTTGAGCTGCCCTGATAGGGGCACTGTTTGGAGCTGAGAGGATCACAGTCCCTGTGAGGACTTGCCCAGAGAGAGATATTTATAGGAGAAATAAGATAGCTCAGCAGAAGGGCCAGGCTCATGAAGCAAACCCCAGTGCTTGTCCTGTCGGCTGGTTGTGTGGTAGAGCAAGGCCCACTGGTTGCAGAGATGCAGAAGAGATTGAGGCTGGGTTTGCAGGGCTGCAAATCAGCAGGTTCCTGTGTACCCATGGTTACAGCTTGTGCCCAGAAATCACGGTCCTGTGACTGGTTATTAGGTTAAGAGACTTCCTCAGCTCTACTAGTCAGGGAACTATATCCTTTCCCTTGACACTGGTCCATGATTTCACCATTTACCCAGAGAAACTGAGAGAAAGTGGCACTGGGAGTCTTTCTTCTTCTCAGGATGAGATTCCAATCTTTGTAACAAAATCAAAGGCACTTAGAGACTGACAGGGTCAGTGCCTGCCTCAGAGTGGTTTGTAATAAACTCACTGAGACACTCAAAGGGAAATACTGACTTGATCTGGGTCTTTTTAGGGGCCTTGAGATTTGATTGCAAGGATTCTTTTCCTTTGATTTTTTTTTTCCTTTCTTTTAAACAACTCTGGCCTCTTGGCTTGTCAGGGAAAACTGTATTGGAATGAGTAAGCTCTCAGAGTGAATCCTTTGGTTTTTCTCACTCCTGAGCTGGACTGGCTCATCAAAGAGGAAATGCCCATGCACACTGGGGCCAGAGTGTAGGTCCTGCCCCGGCCCTCCAAGAACTTCCAGTCTAATTAGAGACTTAATGGCAGTAGAGCAGCCCCTGTTACCCTTTTGATGAATCATTTAAATTCTAGGATTTAGGTTACTTTAAGCACAGTACACAGACTCCCACAGTATCTTGGACTTGCTGATAGAAAAAAAAAATTGCAGACTATTCACTAATTGGATTCTCACCCTTGACTACTCTACTTAAGTGAACTCTTCTGGCCAAAGCTTTAATATTCAATTTAGCAATGAAGTGCAGATTTGCCAACATTCTACTGCTTTCCACCAATCACCACGATCCTTGTTTCTTCATTAGGCATCAGAACCTTTGTCTAGCTCATTGGGTAGTTCACATCATGGCCACGTTCCCATCGTGACACTCAGGAAGCAAGCGTGCTGAATGCTGAATAAAACCGCAGGCTGGTGCATTGTCCCAGGCCCACCTAAGTGCTGGCAGGCCCCACCCTAACTGGACTCTCAGTTTGTCTCAGTCAGTCATGGAGATTGATTGAGCCCTGTGTCCAGCAAATTGGGAGAAAATGTTACAAAATTCCTAATGGAAATGTGCCTTTTTGGGTATCTTTCAAGATACTCATTTTATATCAGGGAAAAAAGGCTTTTTTGCACCTGCACTTCAGAAATAACAGAAGTCAACAACTTATTAAACAACTTGTGTAGCTCTCTGGAGGAAATGAGGCTGTTCTGAGATCCTGGATGTCCCCCATTCTTCCTTCTAAGTTGAATTCAGAAATCACCTCCCTCCAGCCCATCTTCTGACAATTTCTTAGTATGCTAGTATCTCTCACAGGGCAGGGACAGGAGGGAAATAAATCTGTCTTGCTACTTGTTTCTAACTGAAAAGGTTGGTAGAAAAAAGCTTAAAACCATTAACTAAAATGCTTTGAAAATTAATTTCAAACAATCTGTGCTTCTCCTTGCCCTGTTGTAACTATTGTGACTGGCTGTAGTCCAAGGCCTAGTTCAACAGGCCCCATGTATTCATGTGTCAGTCTAAGTTCGTTCAGCAGTTAGAGTCCTGCACCTGCTGGGCTGTGCTAGATGGCTGGGGATAGCCACGGTAATCAAGTCCCCATCCCAGGGTTGTTCATAAGTCTAAGAAAGTGGGCTCTTTCTTTCCTTTCTCTGTCAGGATCACAACAGTGGAAATACTGATGGTTCTAAGTTGCTAACCCAGGAAAGGAGAAAAATCTTTTGTCCTAATTGGACTTTTGTAATAGCTGTTGTGTGCTCTCTCCTGGTTATCTAGCCCATGATGGTTCGCTCAGCAAATGTTTGAGCAAATTCTTTGGCCTCCTGTGCCAGCCCCTTCCTCACATCCTCTGTACCAGCTCCACATGCCTGGATTCAGACTTGGGGGCCTTTAGCAGACATTCCATCTGAAAGAAGGTGGAGAGGAGTGTCTCCTGGGGTCATAAAACGGGGCTGATCCTTCAAAGAAGGAAACTTGCAGAGCTGCACAGTCTACAGGGAAAAGATGAGAAGAAGGGGGTGGGCATTTGATTTACTGTTAACAATAGTAAGAGCCAGATCTTAAAAAAAAAAAAAAAGCGGGGGTTGGGGGGGCTGGCAGAAACTCAGCATTGCATTGGCGTACTCTAGCCTCCCTGTTGCCTTTGCCCTTGGGGCCTTTGAGAATCTGTTTCTTAGGATGGGGGGTATCAAAGAGTTTGCCTCAGACAGTGGCTTCTGTTTGAGTGAGAAGCAGGGGAGCCAGTGATCCTAGAGGGAACGTCTGGCAGAGAAACAGACATACTGCAGCCTCTGGGGTGGCCCCAGCCGAGCTGGCCTAGGCAGGCTCTCGGGTGGTATCCTGGGCTACATGGTCTGCATGTAGCTGAGGCCCCTTCATCCGAACCAGATATAGCAGATAAAAATACAGGACACCTGGTTGAATTTGAATTTCAGATAAACAACAAACAAGTTCTTAGTATTATGTCCCAGTTTTATTTGGCTGCCCTATTCAGGCTCGTCTCTGCTGGCATCTGCTGTGTAGAGGCTTCCAGGCTTGGCACAGGCTGCTAGGAGCTCTCCAGCTAAATTGGATCACCCTGATTTGTTGCACTGTTTGTGCTTCTGTGGGCAGCGGAAATGACAGTGAGATATGAAGTCACTTGAGAGAAGGCAGTAACGGGAATTCAGTTTTGAAGAGCCAGGCAGGCTGACTGAGTTGGATGACTGTGGGCCCCCATTGACCTTAGCTGCTAGTGTCTACTGGGTATTTTTCCATCAGGAATTTCAAATGTGTATTTTATAGAGAGGAAGGAGTCAAAGTGCTTTTCTCATTTGATTAGTAACTTTGATTAGAAATGCAGGGGGAGAGAATTCTTTGCTTTATTTGGTTGACAGATTATTTTCCTTTTGTCTTTGCTTTGCTGACATTGTTGCTGTGTGTGGTGTTTGTCGGGTGAAGGGACAGGGTGGGAGTCGGTGTATGTGT